CGGATCTTGCTCAAACTCGGTATATGGGGGTTATTTGAGCCGCTGATGACAATATCATAGTCATCGCGTGGCAGCGGGTAAAAAACATAAACCTGCCTGAAACCTTGGCAGGGAATTACCTAAAGTGCTTTTCAAAGAATATCGTGCTCAATCTCCGCGATAAAGGCAATTCGTGTGGTATAAAAGTTTCCCACGACCGTAATGCTTTCCTTATATAGGACCACTGCCGCGCGCGATACATCCTTCGGCGGCTTTTGCCTAAGCGGAAATAGGGGGAGGGAGATTTGCCGCGTGCAATACACTCTTCGGCGGCTTTTGCCTAAGTAGAAATAGGAGGGAGATTTGTCGCGTGCGATACACCCTTCGGCGGCTTTTGCCTAAGCGAATCAGGGGAAGGGAGATTTGCCGCGTGCGTTACACGTTGGGACAGGTTATCAGGATGGCGCTGGAGACCGCCATGCAAAACGACCGTTTCCCCATTTCATGAATACTTGGATCTAAATTGGCCCTGTCCTGCAACTCACACAACTTCACTAATGCGTTATGACAGCGAGCAAGTTTCATATTCATAAGCAGTATACTTGTGAGCCGTTACAGGTAAGGTTTTGAGCAAATCTGGAACTTCGACCCATCTACACCCACCGTAACCCAAGAAAATGCAGTATCCTGCGAAATCAACATGATATTTATTTCAGCGCGCTAAATGACCACCCTAGACGAAGTTTGAAGCAAATCTATGTTTTCGGCCCCAAACCGTATATAACACCCTAACTCTATGAAGAGGTCCCAATATGCAGAGAGAGTATGAAATTCGTAATCAGCATGCCGAATAAGTTCTCTGGACCGAAATCCAGCCGAATTCATGATTTTGACTTCCTACCGTACACCTATCGTTACCACATGGGGAGACTTTCTGCGACGAAAGTGTGATATCTGTAATCAGCATGTCAGATAACTTTTATACACAATCTGAGCAAGCTCTACGACAAAATTTTGGGGCTCGGTTAGCCGAATAGCGCCAAACTAATATCGAACTCGTAATCAGCATGCTTGATTACCCCCCTGTGCAAACTCCCAGCCCCGTGGCTCAAACTTTGCAAAAAAATCGATAAAATCGATAAAAATAATGGACGATTTCAAAAACTAATAGTGTATTCGGAATCCCCATGCTCGATTACCCCCCCCCCCCTGTGCAAGCTCCCAGCCCCGTAGCTCAAACTTCGCAAAAAATCGATAAAATCGATAAAAGTAATCGATAATCCTGAAAACTAATATTGTATTCGGAATCTCCATGCTCGATTGCCCCCTTGTGCAAACTCATAGCCTCGTAGCTCAAACTTTGCAAAAAAATCGATAAAATCGATAAAAGTAATCGATAATCCTGAAAACTAATATTGTATTCGGAATCTCCATGCTCGATTGCCCCCTTGTGCCAACTCCCAGCCCCGTAGGTGAACTCTGCAAAAAATCGATAAAAAACGATAAAATCGATATCGATCGATGACGAAAAGTAACCTGTAACACCCGCCGGGGCTCGAAGTGTATGTTTGGTCCTGATCGGTTCAGAAATGAAATTTTCTTTCGGAACATACGTACAGACATACATACATACAGACAGACAGACAGACAGGCAGACAGACAGACAGACAGACAAACAGACAGACAGACAGACAGACAGACAGACAGACAGACAGACAGACAGACAGACAGACAGACAGACAGACATTAAGCTTTATATATAAGATGACAGCGAGGACCACCCCATTTCGGCGACATATAGTCCTCTACCCGAATACCGCCAGCAGAAAGATTCAAAGTCCATATAGGTCATTCGGAAAGTTTTTTCGTTTTCGCACCTTTAAATTCAAACGAGCACAACTTTTTCCAGATCCAACCTTTTTCTTTCAAACAAAATTCGTTGTGTTCAGCAGAATACTGGTAACATTAGTGTGGTGTTCCTGTGCTTTTTTCTTGCGAAATCTCTTTAGGGAAATTAATAAAACTTAAAAAGGCATTTTTTACAAGCTAATTTTTATTGGATCGTATTATTTTTTAAAAGGCTCCGAGGAGTTGGAGAATTTGGTGACTGGTAAAGGAAGGTTCATAGAGTTCGAAAAATGAAAAATAACCTCGGTGCGCAGTCAACCCCTTTTGTGAGGGCCACTTTTTTACATGTGGTTTGACGGCGTCATGGGCGAGGATGGCACCTTTCATGGATTATTCGTGCAAGTCTGCTCGGTTTCAAAATTTTGACAAACGGTCTTTAGAGCGATATCATACTATTCTGCTCTTACACCACAATCACATCTTAGCAAATTTATAGCGTGCAAGACTAGCAGGATTACATTAATTTGAGTACATCAAGCTTTTGTAATGACTTACTGTTCATGGCCATGTTTGCAATGCTTGTTTCAAATGATTTACCACATTGTTGCTTCTTTTAGCTGTACTTGGCCAATTTTTTGTTGTAATTATCAATCCAGGCCAAAAAAGAACTGCTCCGTCAAATTATGAGAAACGAAAGCAGAGTCAACGCGCCCTCAATCTGCGAGTGCGACAATTTGTGAAGTGTAGCCACTAATGTTTTTTGGTATTGCAGCTTTAGCGACGGTGGCTTCAAATGGGGCTATATGACACTACAAGGCTGCCTATAGTTTTATGCAGCTATATTTGTGATTTGCTTTATGAAGACCCTTTAGATGCTATTTTATATGGCAGGCACACCTTCCAGAACAGTGCAGAACATTAGCTTTCACTTCTCTAGATCTGGACTTTTTGAAGCAAACTTCAACCGACAAGAAAGATGTGGCCTTATCAAATGCATTGCGCACAATTATGGCTTCTTTGACTGCCTTACACTCAAGACTGAGCTTGAAGAGTGCAATTATTCAAAAATCGCGTTTTCATATGTCGAATTTATGGCCATGTAAACTTCCCTACAAAACGTTTTCTGCAACTTCGGTAAGTTCCTCAAAAACTAGAAGACTTCCTCCTCTACATTTCCATATATAGCAACCCCTATCAGCCCTCTGGCATTCTTTTAGAACATGGGACCAACATCAAAGGCGCCAAAAGCGAAAAAACTTTCCGAATGACCTAATAAATAAAACTGAATGTCTTTTTGTCTGTGTGCATCTATGTGTGTACGTAATTCCGAATGAAGTTTTTTTATTTTTGAACCGATCCGGATTAATTGATGCACATATAGGGCATTTGAAAGACCTTGACGAAGGCGCGACCGCGCGCGACACGCACGCACCTTCCGGTAACCGCATTCTTAGGCCCGTATGCACGTACATCCCCGCTGGGGAGGGGAGGGGATCTGAGAGGGGATGCGTCATATCTCGCTACTTTACGTATCTTTCTTCTTCCTTTTCTATCTTGCTTATGAAGGTTCTCATACCCTACTACCTGCGCATAATCGATGCCAGGTTACTGGCATAACTGATTAGATTTGTACTAATTTGTGTGATCCCCTGAGGGATCCCCAGGGGATCACACAAAATAGTTCAAATCTAATCAGTTATGCCAGTAACCTGGCATCAATTATGCGCAGGTAGTAGGGTATGAGAACCTTCATAAGCAAGATAGAAAAGGAAGAAGAAAGATACGTAAAGTAGCGAGATATGACGCATCCCCTCTCAGATCCCCTCCCCTCCCCAGCGGGGATGTACGTGCATACGGGCCTTAGTTTTAATCACTACTCGACTGGTTTTTCTGCTTAGATTTGATAATTCCTGGACAATGGAAGTGACTGAGCTAAGCGTTGAGGTGATATCTTTTTGTATGAGTATGTTATGCTTCCGTGGGCGCAAAGACCGCAGTTATGATCGGCTCCCAGATTCGTGTGGAGGTGTATTGTAGACTTTGCCTGATAACACATTTAAACTTGCTAAACCTCCACGTCACAGCATTTCTCTTCGTACTCTCTCGCTAGCAAAAACCGCCACGCGGTGAGCTGGCAGGACTCCACCTCCACACGAATCTGGGAGCCGATGATAAATCCGGTCACGATTTAATAATTAAACCTTACACTTCGGGGCGGGGCGGGTGTTTTTCGTCGTTGATCGATATCGAATTCGATTTTTTGCAAAGTTTCGCCTATGAGGCTGAGAGTTGCACGGGTGGTGATTGAGCATGCAGAGTTCGAATATATCATTGACAGGGCCGAGCGAGCCGAGTTTGATAGCCAGTTTTCAATGATTTCTTGGTTTGATGTTTTAGCCCACATCTCTTTTGTATTTCCTTCGATTAATCAACCTCCATTTTTGCAGAGCGGGGGAGTGAGGAGTGGTAGGAACTCAAAAAGGGCTGTCTCAAGATTATGGATTGTGGAATGGCGTGATTGAGAAACAACCAAATCGATTACAATTACATAATTTCAGCAGAAAAGTAGTCTGCTTGATAGCACAATAAACATAAATTCATGACTTTTGCATCATCCTTTAGTTTCGCGCAAGCCACCGTCAAATGCACGAAGGTGATTTCTTCAAATATAGAATAAGAGGTATGGCGCCACCTGTGATGGTTCCATCACCGAATTCTTCATCATTTCATCGTTCACAGTCAGAGTATGCGCAATCTGAATCTTGCCAATACTATTTCTGAATGGTCCCAGAAAAGCAACAATGGTGCTAATTCAAAACGTTTTTTGATATCGTCATTCGTTGACCGCACGGACTGCTCGAGCGCTACGGACCACGCGCGGCGGGGCTGAAATGCCGCGAGAGCACGACTTGTACAATGGCGAATGTGTACTGGAGCAAGCGTTCTATTCGCGGCGTGCTCCGCAGCGATATCCAGTCCGTGCGGTCAACGAAACTATAGATTTGTGTGGCATGCCCGGTCCCGCCCAGTTCTTTCAATACACTGTGATAAAGGTTACCATTCCAATCTTTGTAACATCATCCTTTCTGTCTTAATCATACCAATTCCGTGCCTTCACTATGTTTTCGTACTTTCCATGCTCACCTATCCCTCTGCTCAACTCCTAGCTCTTCAGGCCGAGCTTTACAAAAAATCGATGGAATTGACAGGGATGATTAACAATTCTAAAAGTCGGTAAGTATTCGTAACGTAACTAACATGCTAGCTCATTTCCTGTACCAATTCCCAGCCCTCTAGCTTAAAATTTGCAAAGATGGGTAAAATTAAGAAAATTGATGTCCAAAAGTCAATATACTCGTAATTGTGCTCACCAACCCCCCCCCCCCGCTCCAATCTCCCTATGCCAGCTCCCGCACGCTAGCTTGCAGTTCAAAAAGAATCGATAGCGACAGCTGCGACAACAGTTTCGCCTCGAATTCATGTGAGCAAGGTTCGATCCGGATCGGTTAACACGTTTCGGGCCGCGAAATCGCGCGCGTCGAAAAAAGAGGGTATTTTCAACCGTTAGCAACAAAGGGACCTTGATTCGTATACGTGTACTACATCTGTAATCAGCATGTCAGATAAGATTCATACCCAAAGTTCTGAGTGAATTCGAAGTGTTTGAATTTTGTCGCCTGAGAAGGACTTCGTTGCTTTCCTGGAAGATAGGAACTAGAACTCAGTTTCTAATTGTATCCAAAAATATCTATGTTGTACACGATACACATCATTATTGGAACTATGTTTTTCTCCTTGAATTCGAAGCAAAGAGAAGTTGCGACTCGCACGCGTCGTTCGCGTTGCCGCACTTCGTTGCAACTGTCGTTCGATTTGCGCTTGTATCTCCCAAACAAATATAGGCGGCACAAGTCTATAAAGTCACTTGAGAAGTAGAAGCTTAGGACTTTGACTTGATAACCTTGGACAAAAAGAAAACTTCCTGTAAACAATAAAAAGATCTTGAAAGGCGCGTGCTGCACGATGTGCAGCACCGGTCCGAAATGTGTTAAGACATGGAATTTCCTATTGGGCACACACCACAGACAAACAGACGCACACAAATAAAAACATTTGTCTTTCTTTGTCGCCTTTTTCGGGTAGTAAAAGCAAGAGAAATCTGTTAGGGCATGAGGACAGTTTACCGACAGTGGCAAATGTACATCAAGCCATTTTTTCCGTTTTATAGTTTTCATATTTCAAGTGCCGTACTTGATCAACTTGAGCTACGTCGTTCCCACTTCACTAACGGTCACATCAGTAAACTAACCAAAACTGAAGTGGATGAAGTGGACGAAGCGGATCAAGCGGCTCAAATGGACAACCGCTTCGCTATCGGTCAGCACGCTGAATTGACCTATAACGATGTGGATCAAGTGAACCAAGTATGGCGGGTGCCTCTGCCACTTCACAATTAATATCTACTCGTATAATGCTTTTTAGCAGCTTAATGCTTCCGCTGAATGTAACGATGAAAAGGTAATTGAAAGCTGAATGCATTGAAAAAAGAAAGACTCAAGAAAATGAATGCGACGAATCTATTACAGTGGCACGCCACGCCTGGGGAGTCGTAGAGGGGTCAGGGAGAGGGAGGGGGGAGGCTCGTTATCGAGATGATAGTGATGATGACGACATAGTGTCAGTCAACATCTGATAGGCCCATTGTATGGTGTTTTGGCCTACCGTCGTACACATACAATAAGCATGATGAAAAAACCCCAAAAGCATAAGAGCATTTTTTGTAATATGCATGTCAAATAATCCCTGTGGGCCAAGTTTCAGCGAATTTTGAGGTTTCAAATATCGGGACACTCAAATAAGGTGGTCATTTTGAACATCTTAACTGTTTTGTTTTAAAGGTGAGTAAACTACTGCTTTCTGCACTCATTACAAAGTACTACTTCTCTGCTCGCATTAAGAATCCCACTTCAGCTAACCTCCAAAATCTGAAATTGAGAGCGAGCCAAATTTTGTTTGTTTTAATTTTCACTTCCAATTTCTCAGACTATAAAAAGCCAATCAGGCTCAAATCACTTTGTAAAAGTTGCGAGGATCAGGCTATCGAATATACTTGTTCTTGCCGCCTCCCTCGCGATTCTAGTACGACAGACTAAGTATATCACCGTAATCCAATATTTTTGCAGTGTTTTCCATTTGCATAGTTAAGGAAAAACGACTATATCTTTTCTTAGGAAAAACAAGTTTGAATGTAATTCCTGCTATGTGGAGAAAGAGATTTAGCAGTAACAAACATATGAAAAAGACAGAGACTTGAATGCTATGAAGGTAAGTCAATGGGATGTGGCACAACTCTAAAGTGCTGTGGCAGGTACAGCTTTTAGGGGTTGTGCTACACCCCGTTAACTTCGAAAAGAATTTTAGCGAATAGATTACTGATAGGGTGAACTTTGTAGTTTTCGTAGAAGTAATTTGGCCTTGTTTCATCTTCTTCGCTTTGAGTAAAAACTGGTGAGAGCAGTCAGTGAAAGCGATGGGATAAACGAGATTTTGGCCTGTTTCTAAGTTCATAGTTTGATGTTATTTGAGGCAGGATTCATGGTGTGGGTAAATCTGATATGGGGGGGGGGGGGGGGTACTGAGACAAAAGGTGGAGGGGGGGGGGGTCGTATCAGGCGCTTGTGTGCCACACGTCCTGTTCGACCCTGGTTCTATTCTCGTAGTTGTACGTGGCTCCTGTCTTAGAAACCCAACAAGGGAACATTTGGATATGAAAACTCATTAGAGTCCCACTGAATAAACTTCGCTGAGCGCGAGCCTGTAGTATTCTAAGTACAGAAAAAAAGCAACTTACTATAAACTTGAATAGGCGCTTTCGTTGTAACGCTAAATTTTTGGCTTTTGACGACGTGTTTGTAACTACAACGTTGATTTAGTGAATTTTGGCAGAAAAAAGCCAAAAATTCAGCGTTACAATGCGCATGCTGCAGAAAGATGAGAAGCACGTTAGCGGAAAACTTTGCAATTAGATTCGGCATCCCCGAAAACCTTGGTTTAAGGTCTTTTGTAATTTTTTAGAAGCATTCTCGCCTGTCAGAAGCTTAAATTTACTCGAAAATCCCTGCCGTAATCCTGCAGTGGCTGAAAGAAACTGATGGTTCGCTTTGTACTGCAAAACAAAGTTGAAGAGAGCTTTATCGTATGATTCTCAAAAATCCGCGAAAGATTTCCACAAAGGAAGTTGTAGAAGAACAAAAGTTTGGTAAATTGAGATCAGCGTTTCAAAATTCAAAATGGTTCTTTTCAAACTGACTCTGAAGTAACGGAAAATTAATTGAAATTCTTAGCAGTTGTCAACGAAGAATCGTCAAAGCTATTCTGCAATCCCTAATCGATGATGAAATTAGTTGCGAAAGCCACTGCGACTATTGCAGATTTCATTTAGCTGCACGAGATTTGTGCCGACATGATAGACAGCGGAAATGATTAGTATTAATACGCGAGCGAGGAGAGCTTCAAATGAATGTGGGAACAACCAGCGGCGGTTCAAGGAACTTTTTCTGGGAAGGCGGAAGTGAAAATTTTTGAATAGAGGGTTGTAGCCTGCCTTTAGCAAAATTTTCTGCAAAGCTGATTGTGTCAATAAAATTTGTGTAGTCTTGTTAATTCCGTAAATATCAAAGTGTCCGAGATCACCAACCTAATTTCTCCAACAACAACTCATAATCCTCTTATATCTTGAACAGGTTTCGCGGTACCATTCGACAGAGCAAAACAAGCTTCAAAGAATGGCATTCTCATGTCTGCTTAATGTTTGTTCGACGTAAACTTCGAAACCCAAGAGAAGATCTGAATGCCCAAAAAATCGAGGGAGAATCTTACGCCCTTGAAGAACACCACGGACCTCTTGCTTGCTCATGCATATACTGCCCATATTCGGCACTTATATATACATTTGCCAGTGGCGTACCCAGGATTTCGGCTCGGGGGGGGGGGGGGGCGCGACAAAAATTTTTTTCTAAAGAAGGTGCGTGGCGTTAGCCACGCACTCCGAAAATTTTTTTGGGGTGCTTCTCAAAACTTTTGCGGGTCCCGGACCCCTAAAATCTAGAAAAAGGGGGGCGTGGCGTCAGCCACGCCCCCGAAAAACTTTTTTTACAAGGCTAATTTGAATTCTTTAAATTTTTCAAAAATTATTTAAATTATTTACAAAAATAAACAAGTCACTTGCACATTTTTATAACCCACATAGGTAACTTTCAAAAATTTCGCGACCCATTCTCGGGGGGGGGGGGGGGGCGCGCGCCCCCCCCCTCGGTACGCCACTGACATTTGCCTATTTTCCTTGGTTCAAAAATGGATTTAAGATATTGCTATATTTTGCCAGAGAGTTTTAGTAAGAAGTAGCGGGAGATTCTTCAGATGGTCTGGTCGGAACCGGCCGCTGTACGGCTTTTGACGTTTTGGCATGTTGAACTTCTGAAGGAAAAACTGTATGACATAGTCGTCCTCCTTGAGATGCATGGTGACGGATGAGCGTCGTTCGCAAAGAGATCTCTGTTGTTGATGGCCCTTCAAAAGAGGTTGGGCTTCTGTCAGGGCGGTAAATTGTATTTGTCTTGTTCTTGGCCTTGACAAAGCTTTGGCTGGCGTTCCCTACATTTTTTCAGCCTCTGCGGCGTAAATAATTACTTGAACGGTTTTCTTTCTAATATCTTTTTTGCTTCTCTGCAATACTTCGCAAGAAGTCAGTTGGTAATTGCCTGCGGCTTGTCTACTTTGGCATGTCAGCTCTAGAGTTCACAGACTCTTTCTCGTACTTCAGAATCCTGGCTTTCTTAGTAGAGTAGTAGAGATGTTAGTCAAAAACATCTCTCGTCATTGTTTGCCGATCTCGCCAAAAGCCGAATTTGGAGGAAAACAATTTCAGCTGGGGGTTATCGTGGGACGGTGCTCTGAACTTGAGCCATCTTCTTTTTTATGAAAAGTGGAACTTAGCACAAAAGAGACAAAAATCCGATTTTGTAGAATTATGGAACAACATCGACCGTCGTGCAATTCCTTCTGACGATGATGTGATTAATTTCATTATGGTACTCTCCACTGGGTCCGACGTCCAGAAGGGGGGGGGGGGGGGTTGGAATTCTGAGCTTCCGCCCTCGTCATAATGAACATAAATAATCTTTCCTCTTGCCCCTCAAAGCAAAAGAAGTCATCTACAATAATCTTGTAAAGGT